AAAAAACAGAGCTAGACATCATGGAAAGAACTTTTGGAAACCTGTTTTTGGCAGGCATCGTGATAGTTGTCCATCTACATCCTGCCACCTTCCACATGGGTGTTTTGTGAAAGTCCACTGCTCCCCTAGCTCCCCTAGCATTTCTGGGACAAAGGCCCTGTGAGGTCAGCCAGGTCCGTCTACATCTCTAAGCCTGGCATGTTCTTTTGTCCCGTAGAATATCTTTACCACCTACTATCTTGACTCATGTAGATCTGAGGGGTTTGCCATACGTGAAGCTTGGGATAAAGAGTCAGGGGCTTTGAGGGTCAAGATGGAGCCAACTGGGTATCCCAGTACCTAGAGCACCTCCATCACCCATTGCACTCCCATCCCCAGGAAATGCTATACAGGCCTCCTTGGACGCAGATACGACTTCATAGAATTGGAGGCCTTTGCAAGCACTGAGTAAGGGACAGGAATCAGCTTGCCGGGCTAGCTCTTCAGCGGGAAGTTGGTGGTCATCAGCGTGCATTCTCCAACTCAACTTGTCAGCCCGGATTGTATTGCAGCTGAGATTCATGGCACAAGTGGCCAGTTCTCTATAACTGTAGGCAGCCACCTCTTGGGACAGTTTCCACATACTGGATGAAACCTCATGGATTTGGGAAAATGAGACTCTTGTGAATCCCATGCCTAGTTAAGAACTACCTTCCAGGATCTCACTGACAGTGGGGAAAATTAAGATGCTCCCAGGTTTGACAGAGAGCAGAGAGACTGGACTGCCCTGGGGGGAAGAGGGATAGGTGGGCAGAGAGACAAGCCTGAGTACGGTGGCTAAGGACTCACCTGGCTGGATCATGAACTGAGATGGATCAGGTGTGACAAAGAATCACGAATCAGACACACAGCACACAGGTGCCCCAACTGGACCGAAGGTTTAAGAAACACAGCCTATACCTCCTGAGGTCGTGCTTCCACATGCCCTCAGGTGGAAGGAGCCAGGGCCCACCCTGAACCGCTCAGTCCTCTGGGAGCCCCACCCTTTGTCCTGCTGCCATTGTCTACCTTGCTGGGCCTGAGGGCTGACATTCCAGGAGGTGGTAGGTCCCTGCCAGGCCCAGGAAGGACCACCAAAGCCATTGCATTCGCTCTGCATATGAACAGCAAGAATGAACCCAGGCAGTTGGTCTAGATAGACCCCAATGCCACCAGCCCAGGGGCAATGCTTCCAGTCTCTACATGGTTTTTCTCCATTTCTATACAGAGTCAACTCGATTGCCATATTCCTATGTGTTTCTTTAGCTTTCCATGTAGTAGTGAGTTGCCATTGCCTGTACCTTCCCCACTTCCCAACTGCTCTTCACTGCCCTCCCAAATTCACAATGTACACTGCAATTTGTTCTGCAAATAGGCTTCATGGAGGACTCAGAAAAATATAACCATGAATGTTTGAAGGTGGTTCATTTTCCAACCATACTCCCAATAGGTGCGCCTTGACATGTACGGCCCTGGGAAATGGGGTGTAGACTAAGCAGCCGATTCCGTTGGAAGGAAGAGGCCCATTTTTTTCTGCCCACTGAACTGGGGATGGTCCTTTCACCCACTATGCCATGTTGCTGCAACGTAATGTTGGCCCTTCTCTGTTGATGGCCAAACAGGCGAGGACCACTGACCCTACACTTTCTTTTCCATTGTACCTCAGTTGCCTGCTGCCTCTAGAAACCTTGGGAGGCACAGAATATCTCAGAGTGCTGGATGTGGGCCCTTTGTGGATAGTGTGTTTCTTCCCCTCAAAGACCATCTCAGAGAGAGAGATGGGTATATTTCATTCCCACCTGAGCAGATGACAGCAGCATCTTCTCCATGGCCACAGTTGTGTGAGTTCCAGTCATTGTGAGGGCAGCTCCACAGGTAGGACTCATGGCCAGAGCAGCGCAGGTCGTCTAGGAAAATTGGCCCTGAGCCTTGACCAAAACGGGCACTGCCAGGGGCCGAAGTGGCTGAGCCACAGCCCAGCTGCCTGCAGACCACGTTGGCGTCATTGATGTCCCAGTCGTCGTCACACACAGTGCCCCAGGAGCCTCGGTACAGGACCTCCACGCGGCCCTGACACCGGTCCCCTCCGCTCACCAGCCTCAGGGCCAAACCAGACTCAGTCCCTGAGGGATAAAGAACAGAAATCCTCCTCCATCTGTATCTTAAGCTATAAGCTGAAAACATTAGGAACCCCAGGGGCTTCTTCGTGGCCTAAGGCCCCTGGGCAGGTATTGACCTTTCAACATGCCCAGATGTTAATCTTCACCTCGGGTAATGGAGCAGAGACACCCCAATTGGCTGAAGGCTAAGGATGCTCCAATGGAAAGAAGCACCCCATGACATGGATGGAGGTGATGTGGTAGTCTGGCCTAATCCACACTGGGGACACCCTAGATGGAGCTCTAAAGCTCCTGGTACGTGCTAAGTCCTTGCCTTCATTAGCAAACTATTGGCTTCAGAGGCATCCTGACTTGGTTCTGCCAAAATCCCAGGACATGGTGCAAGTCTGTAGGCAAGGTGGAGGACCAACACATAGCCCTCCTCTTCTCAGGGCTCTACCCCATGGGCCTGGGAGCCACCAGAGAAGCATGGTCCCAGCCCTTGAGAGGCCTCCAGGGCTTACACTGAGAACCTGGGTAAGAACTTTCCTGAACATAAGCCCAGGATTCCATTGGAGTCAGCAGGACAACCTCTAAGATCAGGCCCAGTGTCTGATCTTCAGAGACTTCTTTATCTCCCAGCTGTACACACACACACAAACATACACACACACACAGAGATAAGGATTAGGAAAGACACACCCTGAGATGGCTCCTGTCCCTTCCAAACCC